GAGCGACTCCCTACCAATCATGATCATAAATTGCCGGATAACACCAATATTGGGCAAATTGTCGAATACGGTAATTTAGCAAATGATTGGCTACACGTGCCGCTTTGCAGCACGTGCTCATTTGCCAAATTACCGTTATTCGCCCAATATTGTATACTTCTGTGACAAATAATTTTTAATCTACACTTTTTGGCCGAATGCATACAGTATTAAAATGTTTGTATAACATGCTTTCTTTACACAATAAATGATATATAATAATACAAAAGAGAAAAAAAAAATTTTCAGTTGATTTTTAAAGGTTTGTCAAAAGAAAACCATGACATGTTTATTGCAAACTTTTTACTAAAAGTTATTCGTAGCAAGTTTTTGGCTTTTGTTAATAAAATTTTGTGTCATACATTCCTGCGCCATAATACCTTTTTAGCGTAGAAACGTACATACAACACAGACGCCAAGATCAATTACAATGTAAAAAAAAAAAGCACTCCCGGTTTAAACGTGTTACGGTTATCTTTTTCCAAAACTTTAAAAAACAAAAAAATTGGTTTTGTTGTTTAATGCGTTTAATGCGTTTAATGTTAAATATCTCGATATCAGTGAACAGAATGGAGAAACTCACGTGAATACTATAAATAGATTGCAAGATATCGTTTTTGATCAAAATGTTAAGTGATATTACAAAGAAATTTTAAACAAAATTAAATAGCAGACAAGTAATATATTTGATAACAATTACCATTATTGGAATACAAATTTTTAAGTGTATTTCATGCAGTACAAAAAACTTATCCGTTATGTACATACGTACGTACGCACTCTAGCCGTTAGATAAAAAAATTCAGCCAAAATGGTTCTCAACGCCATAATGCATGCATTGTACATGTTTATCATTCATATCTTGATAAAGAAATCCATATCTGCATATTGAGTAACAATTTTTAAGATTGTGAAAAAATTTTTATTTATTTTTAAGAGTAGATTACACATAAACAGTTTAATGTAAATAAAGATCCGATATCTGTTATTCGGAATATTCACATGTGCAAAAAAGAAATCAATAAAATAAATTTACAAGTTTAAAACATTAATTCTACTACGTATAGTATAATCAAATAATTCTTATGTATTTGTACATAATACATTTTTTTTTTATATGGACTTTCAAGGATTTCAAATCCAACAATGATTTTTAAAAAAAATAATTACAAGATTTGATGTTTCGGTAAAAAAAAAAAAAAAAGTTCATAAAAATAAAGCAAATGTAGAAAAATATATACAACGGGGAATTTTTAATAGGTGGATTTTTTTAATTTTATATATAGGCAAAAATATCTGTAAGAAAATTCTATGATTCGATTCGTTGATTTACCCTAAATTCCTTAATAAACTTCATACAATACAATACATACAGCCAATAATGTCGTTACAATCGATATGAATTTCTTTAAATCAATATAGAATCGAACTGTCTAGAATTCTTTTTTTTTTTTTTTTTTTTTGCAGAGACATACGTGAAAATCCAATTATATATATTACAATAAAGTTCTTCCGAGAAAGCTAATAATAATCTTTTTAACAATGTAGTATTAAGAGTACAACACAACACCAAACATAATATTCATCACATAAAATGTCTAATAAAAGAAAGAGTTATGTAAAATAAAAGCTTGAATCAACAAGCCCATTAATTACTCGTAGCAGGCGAGTTGGACGAACGCCCTGTTGGGGCTGTTGATGATTGTTGAGAGTGTGCAAAGAAATGAGAAGACGGTGAAGATGAAGATGTGGGAGGACCTTGTTGTTGCGAACCATCAAAAGATGGACCACGACTATGATGAACTAGTTCAGGTCTATGATTTAATGGTTGAGGTAATGGAGTATGATAATGATAGTTTAAAGGACCATGTTGCCCTGATGATGGCGGACCTTGTGATAAAATTCTATGCCCTTGTGAATAATTAAAAGAATTACTTGATGGTGGTGATGGACCAACAGGTGATGGAGGATGAAGTTGGTGAACTGGCGGAAGATGATGAGGATGAAGAGGTTGAGGAGGTGGTGGAGGCACAGGTCTCATATCACGAGAACCACTAGGTAATGGATTTGAAGAAGGATTAAATCCAGGTGGTCTTTGTTGAAATAAATGTGTTTGAGGTGGTTGTTGTTGTGAAGATGGGTAAAGGCGATTTTGTGATGTAAAATTTATATGCATTCCATTATTAATTGAAATCCCGGAAGAATGAACTGATGGTAAAGGGTGTTGAGTATGTGTTTTCTCATGTTTTCTAAGAGATCTCGAATGATAATATGCCTTATTACACCCTTTAAATGAGCAAATATATGGCCGATGATTGGAATGCGTTTTTACATGTGTCGTTAGAGAATCCGGTCTTGAAAACCTTTTTCCACAACCATTTACAGTGCATACAAAAGGTCTCTCCCCTGTATGAGTTCTTAAATGATTATACATCTTATGACGTTTTGTGAACGGTTTTTGACCTCTTAAACATCCTTCCCAATCGCAAGCATAAGTAGCCTTAAAAAAAAAAAAATAATAAAAAAAAAATTATAAAATAATGTATATGTGTATATATGTATATATAATGAAACGTATAATATGAAATTTGAAAATATATATATTTATATATATAATATAATATATTAAGACTACTATACTAACCTTTCCACTACCAATATGAGAATCACCTACATGTGATATTAATGCTTCTAAACTCTCCAGTACTTTTGTACAACCTCTCCACATACATCGATGACTATCAGATTTCTCATCTTGACCTTCAGGTTTTACAGAGGATAAAGAAGGAGAACTTTGTGAACTGCCGGCTATTACAGATTCAGATCGATGAGACTCTCGTTTTAAATCTTCACCATCGTCATTTGGAGTCATTGGTGAATCGTTATCATCTAATGAAGTAGCTTCGATATATAAGCAATAAACAAAAACCAAAAACCCCATCTTAAAAAATTAATGCAAATTTGAACTATAAATTATTAGAGTCAATAATACATACAAATAATATGTATGTATATTTACTTATTTTTAAAGTAATTAAAAGCTTACCGCTCATATCAGAATAATTAGATTTTATTGAATCACCACGAGAACGTTTTAGACTTTTATTTTCAGAATTACGATTTTTTGAATTTTTGTCACGTTGTTCGTAATACCTAACTTTTTCTATAAGTTGATCTTTAGAATAGTTAGGAAATTCGTATTGTCCCAATTTAGCGTAAAGTTGATCGGTCGATAAATCTTCTAAATTAGAAGATTTATTAATCGAAGTAGTAGTAGCAGCAAGAGTCTCTGCAGTTTTTGACGATTCAATTGTATCAATATCAATATCAGTTTGCATGATAGAAGGTTGAGAAATAATTTCATCAGATAATTGATCATCCTGAATATTATTATTATTATTATTATTATTATTATTAGTATCTTTTTTAATTGAAATATCCAAAGTTTCAGGTGGAGAATTATATTCCAACTTTATTTGATCGTTAAGTGCAGGAGATGGTATACGAGAAGAATTATCAATTTGAGATCGTACTTCATTTTCAGGCGATTTCTTGGAACGTTCATCTTGAGGTTGAGAAACTTGTTTGTCAGGGGACATGGTACGCGAAGGTGATTGAATATTTGTTGAAGGAGATTCGATTACGTTATCAACCGAGGATTTTTGAGCTGCATTCTGCATATCCAATTGAGGATTTTCGGCGACAAATGTTAATGTTTGTGCTGGTTGTAAAGAATTACTACCAAGAATACTCGAATCTACCACCACCGTATTATGTACTATATGTTCCCCAACATTAATAAGATGTATGGGACCACCTGAAGGTACTACAATACTTGGACCATTATTAGGAGGTGCAATACTCCAAGAAGCAGTAACAATAGGACTAGTATTCAAAAGATCGGCTATCGGAGGTGGTTGGGTCGATGACGATAAAATTTGCTCAGTTTGATTATTACTGATAGACATTTGACTGCTTACCGATTGACTGATAATTGTAGAAGCATTAACATCAGCGGCTAATTGGTTATTATTTGCGATTTCCATAGCTAAACGATTATTTTGTTCTATAAGATTATTCATCGATTCAACCATTTGAGCATTAGCTATTGAATCTATTTCTACAATATTCATAGGCTCATTACTGACAACAGATTGAACAGTAGTTGTAGTAGTTTGATTATTCGTACCAGGATTTTCTATAACCAAAACAACGGAAGAATTTTGATCATTTGATATTTGAGGTGGTGGTGGTGGTTGTTGTTGTTGAATAACTTGAGCTTGAGCGACTTGAACTTTGGCAGCGGCGACATGAGCAGCAGCGACAGCTTGAGCAACAGAAACAGCTTGAACAGCTTGAGCAGCCTGAGCAGCTTGAACAGCCTGAACAGCTTGAACAGCCTGAGCAGCTTGAACTTGAGCTTGTACTTGAGCTTGTACTTGAGCATCGACTACAACAGCATGTAATTGAGCTTCAACAACAGCTTGAGCGTCATCATGAACTTTAACAGGAGGATCAGTATCAATAATCATTTGATCTATAGGAGCAGAAGGAGGTTCTTGTTGTTGTTGTTGTGGTGGTGGTGGTGGTTGTTGTTCAGCGGACATTTGAATTAAAGCTTGTTGAACAGCGGCAGCTTGAACGGCAGCTTGTACAACAGCATGAGCTTGAACAGCAGTTAAAGGATTTACAACAGTTGATTGATCTATTTGATGTTGATGTTGTTGTTGCCTACTTAAATCCATTATTGTAGTAGTAGTAGGAGAGGAAGAAATAATATCATTTTGTCTCTTTACATGATCTAAGGGATCAAATATTGGATTATATATAGCAGCATTTACATTTACAACAGTAGATGATTGTTCCTGTGGAGCTGCTAAAACGACTTGAGGAGGAGCAGACTGTGAAACTTCTGTAATAGTTAACTGAGTTTGCTGTTGATCTTGTTGAGAAGTTACTATCATCTTTGAAGTGTTGTGGATCAAAGAAGGGTCTAGTGAAACGGTAGAAGAAACGGTACCTATTGTTATCTGAGGAGTTGTTGTAGATTCCATAGAAGTAGCAGGAGCAGCACCCATAACTAAAACTGGTAATTGTTCTTGATTAACCAACATTGCTAAATCTTGCGTAGAGTCGTTTATAGAATTTAAAGTAATAGTCCCGGAAGAACTAGTAGATATACTTGTTGATATTTGAGGAGGTCGTGAATGAGACGTTGGAGAAGCATTTAATACTACCATCTGATTCTGAGCATTATCTAGCACTAATACTTGTTGAGCTTGTTGATTTTGCAGAGAGTCTAATGAAACAGCGTTAGTATTTTGTTGTGCTGTAGTAAGGTTTAGACCACCTATACTGGTATTTGTCGTGGGAGAATTTGTAACAGAGGCCAAAGGTGCCGGCGGCATCTGACCATACTCGAAATTTCGTGATTCCATTTCCAGTATCTACCGAAGAAATGAAATTTAAAAGAGAAGAAAGAAAGTAGGAATAAATTTTTTTTTTTTTTAGTGTATATATGAAAAATAAATAAAAAAATGTTTTTTTTTTTTTTTTTTTTTTTTTTTTTTAAAAAAAAAACATTGTGACCGTTCTGGTACAACTTGATAAACTAACAGCCCCTGGGTGCAAGATTCCTATTTTAGGATCTAGAAAGGTTTCTCAAGTTGTTTACCTAGAAGACATAAGAAAGAAAGAATATAAGGATACTTACGTACGTATGTACATTAATTAATGAAAAATCAAGTGGAATTGTGAACAGAAAAAAACAACGATCTTGAGATACTTAAACTAATAAAGATTAACACAAATCTTGCCTAAATTAACACATTATTGCAGCTGCATCAAAAAGTCAAAATTGTGTGATTCAATTATCAAAATAAATCAAAAAGCATTCATTAATTATTGGATAGCCAATAAAATTCAATAAGATTAATAGGAAAATATTATAATAATTTAAAAAATTATTATTTTTTTATTTTTTCTTAGTATTTATTGCTGCAAAATATCTACAGCATGCAAGTCAAGCGGAACAATATGGAATGCGATGCTTGTAAAATAATAAATTACTGAATAGGGCATGTGACTACTTACGTTCTTTCTGCAGCATCTCATTCTCCCGTTCAATGGCCTAGATTGCAATCCTATCGACAGGAAAATCACGTGAATTAGAAAAATTATTCTCACTCTACATACGTACGTACGTACGTACGTTCGTACAATTTGCTACGATAGAATGTGACACGGAATAAATATGGCGAACAAATTGTTAGATGAAAGAGAGGAAGCGATCGTGTGACATTATTCTGGAAAAACCATTATTAGTTCGTATTCTCTTTTATTCATTGTTCTGTTGTTACGGTATATACCTATGTACTTGTGTACTTAATCGTAATGAATTCAGGTAATTCACATTCTTTGACATGCTAAGAATCTCGGAGATTTGACAAATTTTTACGCCACAAACCTATCTTTTTAACACCTAAACTAATCTTGGCGGTAAATTTTTAATTTATAATAGGTCACCGAGATATTGGTGAACAATACGAATTATTCCGAATATTTAAAAAAAACTTTCCAACCAATGGTTTTGCATATATGGTAACTTTGTTGTTTGACACGTGTATTCTAATAAAGTTTTTTTTTGTGCTTCTTGTATTTTGTTATCAATAGTTATCAATACCATCTATTATTATACGTATCTGTTTATCGTTATTGAGTATCTATTTGAGTAAAATCACACGTATCATACGTTTATCGTGATATCAACGCGTTCTTAAATTTCTAAAGTGTAAATATTTAATAAATACATACAAAGATAATTATTCTTTAAATGATTTCTGTAATCCCTTAAAGAATTTAATATTGTTGGATCATCTCATATTTATATTAAATTACACAATTTTTTTTTTGTATACAAGAAGATCTCGACATTTAGGAACAATGGGATCTTTGTGTATTCTTGTGTATTCTTGTGTTAACATATATAACGATGATTATGGTTTCACATATTAAACTTGAAGATAACTTGAATGGCATTCTCGGATAATTTAAATCTCCCAAGTTGAAAGAAACAAGATTTTTGTCAGGTTTATTGATCAAAAACCCTTTTATATATTAACTACTATTTAAAGATCGTATTCATTATATATAATTATAAATATTATATTATATACAATTTTCTATTATTGAAGTACGAACGTACCTACATTGCAGATTTTGATTTACATTATATACTATTAAGTCTAACCTCGTTGAGAAGTTGAATGCTAATTTATTTTCAAATATACTAGTTTTAGTCTGTCTTTATCTCCTCATAATGTGAATGTAAGCATGCAATCATTAAATGCATATCCATTATTTTGAAAAAAAGATTAGAGTCATGCGTTGATTTTTTGTTTTGCACAAGAATATATGCAAAGTTCGTTGAAATAGACAATGTTAGGTTTCACATATTTACATGTTGCTCGAGAAATGCGTAAATACAATGAACTTAATTTTTTTTAACAAAAGGAAAAAAATGTACGTACGCATGAATCCAAGAACTGAAAATACGCGCATTCAGCATAGATTATCACGCGCTCTTAGCAACGTGTTTAGTATAAATGGAAAGATTCACTACTTTCCAAGAAAGCTTAAAGTACGTACTAAGAAATATCTCGTGACAACTGATAGACTTTAATGTACGTACAGTTAAAATATTCTATGACTATATTTAGAACGAGAGAATCTTAACACAATCATCATTATACATTAATTAAGCATATAACAATAAGAATTCTGTGAACCGTTCTTTCTATTATCAATGGGCGCTTGGCTTTTCTTGTTGATTATGAATCGCTGCATTTTATATTTTGACTGGAATCACGATGGCTCTATCTGAACAATATAATACTTATATCGAATTCATTGAAATATCAAAATTTTCTTTACTCCAAAGTTGCTATTTCTCGTTTATTAAAATAAAATCATGTTAATTTTTATCAATGTTCTACTTACAGTACATTATCTGAATAATTAATCAAAAAAATTTTTAATTAATCAAGTCGTTATAATTGTTAATATATATTTTATTTTGGTATATATATTAATAATAATTAGGCAATTGGTTCAATTTTTTATACTACCTACTCTCGTTAATCTAAACCAAAGAAATTCATAATTATAATACTTTGACCAATAAGAGGATAACATTCTACGTAGCATAAAGATAAGTATTACTACTGCAAGGATTTTCTGTTAATACTTCTCATAATCTTCGATTCGGTATCTTCTGCAGATTTAATTTTGAGATTACATATCCAATTTAATTATATCGCTTATCTTCTCATCGCAAATTTTATTACTGTTACTATAATATAAAAAGTGATTCTCACTAAGTTGGCTCTTGCTTTTTAAGTTGAACTGTCAAGTTGATATGGCTATTTTATATTAGTCTATTTTTTATGTTCTTGTGGCAAGATCATACCGATAAATTTATTAAGTCCACTCATATATATATACTTTTTTTTATTTCTCTATGAGTGCCGTCAAGAGAAAACCCACATGCTGGCTTTCAATAATTTTTTGTATACAGTTAATCATCTGTGTACCGTCTATGGAAAATCTATTATCGGGATTTCAATTATTTGTGCCTCTGTAAATGATTTGCAACAAACTGTATATAAATTTTAATAAATTTTTAATTTTTATAGTGCAAGAAGCCTATACTCAACAGCTATACAATGTGTTTCAATTTTTTATATAACTATACCTTTTTTTCTAAAAAGTTTTAAAAAAATCTAACTGGTAACTCTATAGAATTATATTACATATGTGCCAAATATCTTTTCAAAATCTTATTACTATAAAGCATTAATATATTTTAAAAAATTGAAATTTTTTTTTTTTTTTTTTTTTTAAATCTTTGACAGTCTTGCCAGTGCTCAATTTATTGGGGCTATATTTCAGGTGAGAGCTAAGCTCTCTCGAACAATACATATATCATTCATAACCAAAAAACAGGGAGTCATGTAATTGCGAGCCTGATATTACCCAGCTGCAATAAACGTGCCCAACTGTGACTTGTCGCACCAACCTGTATACAAGTTAGATAAACTTTGTTAGTTCGTCAAAGCTTTTCTCTTCATATCTCCTTTCTTTACCAAGAGCAAAAAAAAGTGATGATCTCATACAAAACCACCAATAATACCAAGAAAACAAACTGAAAAAACTAACTAAAAAAAGACAAATAAAACGAAGAGGTGTTTTTAAAAGAGGGTACAATGAGATGTAAAAAAAAAAATACAAAGAGAAAAGCCTGAGGGCTGACAAAGTGGGAAACTATTTCTATAAAGAAATAGCATAGGGAAAACGAAATAAAAAAAAACAAAACAAGAAAAAATACACTATTATAACCCGTGCCAGGTTTAAGAAAAAATTTTATAACAACTGCAATATTTGTATATCTCGACTATAATATAAACCTTTATTATCTGACTACCGGCCACCTCCAGATGCTTCTTATGCCAGAGACACGATCTCAGTCATGTAGAGGTCCCGTATCTATAGATTACGTCGTGTATCATATCTATCAATAAACAAGGCACGTGGTTGCATTCCTGGATATGTCCGAATTTGGGAGGTAAACAATGCTAATCTTTTGGAGAAAATAAGCCAAATCGCTTACTTTTTGTCAAAAATTTTAAAGAAGACCGACAGGACCAAGAAAGACTTAAAGAAAAAACTACTAGCACCTAAAGAGAGTATTTTATCCTTGAAAGAACCGATGACTAGTAACTCTTTTTCTAGGAAAAAGGAAGAGCTACTGTACTTAAATGGTAAGTGATAAACTCTGAACTTGTTGGCAAGTAGCATATGAAAACTACTTCTAAATAACAAGTGCCATACTAGCAGTGAGTGATAAACTCTGAAGAAGTTAGCAAGTAGCGTATGAGAACTACCTCTAAATAACAACTGCCGACTTATGGATTCCAGTTTTACACTTTTCATTACTTACTAGTTACTGTTTTTACAAAAATTGTTTGGGAAATTTTGGTTTTAGTGATCATTGGAAAGAGTTGTTTTGTCTATCTGATTGTTTTTCTCAACTTTTAAAGAAATTAAATAATTTTATACACTATCCAATTCCTTAATTTAGAAAATATATTTCTAAAAAAAAAATAAAATTTGTATTTGTAAAAAATTTTTTATTTGATTAGTTGAATCAAATTAGTTACTATATATTATATCACTATTGTTATTGGAAAACCACTGAAAGGTTACTAGAAGACTGCTGGAAGAAAATTAATAGTATCACTAGAACTTAAAGTTCTAGTGATACTATTAACTTAACTTTCAATAGTTTTCCAGTAACAATACTAAATTATATAGTTTAGTTTATCTTAAATTGAACTTGTATAATTATAAAGACAGAGCTTCAAAAATTTTAACCAAATTA